ACACTACCTATAAACAAAAGAACTAGTACCTTTAAGTAAGGATCAAATAGTAAGCATGTCATTAGAGTTGCTTCAAACTTCCTGCAAATAAGCAAGCATTATGAGATAACTGGATAAATCAGACAACTTTGATTGGACAAAAAAATTAGAGCACAAAAGAAATAGAGGAAGTACAATGCTTCACCTTGGTCGTAGTACGTCATTAGTTGGCAGAAGAATTGTCCATTGGCTAGTAAATGATTTAGGATCAGCTTGACAAAGATCCTTCAACCGGTAAAAAAAATAGATTAGAAGTATTCTTGGAAATTTTTATGGATTTGCTACCAGCTAATTGAACATTATCCAGAAATTCAAGCATACTAAACAAACTGAAAAGGTAAAACTAACAAACACAATAGTCTTCCCAACAAAATCACATCAAACATATCTTGAGTAAATAAAGAGTACATATTGGCCAAGAAAATAGTTCAAAAGAAATGAACAGCAAACCTTAACTAACTAACTAAAGAAAAAGAAGCGATAAGCACACAGGTTAGCGACAATTTAAATTAGAAAGTTAAAGTTTACAAACAGGTTGCCGTTTAACAGCTTTCAACAGTAAAAGAATACATTGAATACGACTCCAAAATGCCAACTCTACCAAGCACATCAGACAAAGCACATGGAGAACTTAAATTTGATGCTATTCAAGTTCAATAGTACAACTATGATATGAACATGATTACACAGAAGCAAGAGCCTTTTAATTAAAACTGTGATTCTTGCCTCAAATACACAAAAGGATTTGGAAATCTCCTACAATCCTTTGAATTCCTAATAACTTCTTCCTTATTTTCTACAAGATGTAATCTAAAGTGGTAATGACATAAATGGTGAAGCAGCTAAGATTCAGAGGAGAAATATCCACTACTTACCTAGACCAAAATATCAGTCCACGCTAGATTCAATGGCAAAATAAATTTCCCCAGCTAATTCAGTTAAAGATAAAATATCCCAAACACCTAGAAAATCAATGTAACTTAACACATATAAGTGGGTAAGAAAGGACTCTTGTGAGCCTTCCTGATGCAACAGGCACATTCTTCTATATTCCCAGAAACTTTTCTCTACAATAAGACTCAAGACTCAAGTCCTCTGACCAAGATTTAGGCCACTTCCAGATAGCGTGCTATGAGTGTTACTTATAATTCCTTCTGTCAAAAGTTATTTGCCAGTATTTAGTATGAATTTGAATTTGGGACATTCTAAAGTCACCTAGAAAAAGCCTATCATATCAGAATAGAGCTTTGAATTATCAGAACACCAGGAAATGGGTCAAAGCATATGGTGTTTTGAACTCACCTGCAAGCAAACAATTGCAGCTACTCTGACCTTAGAACTCTGAACACTATCAGGGTCTTTAAGTGATCCATCACTGTCACTGTAATCTGAATCTGATGATGTGAAATCAACAGTAGAAGATTCATGGTCAGCGGAAATTCGAGAATCCTGAGCTTTTGGCCGCTTGATATTTAAGCCATCCTGTTTGCGCAAGTGTGGAGGCCTATAAGGAGTTTTATCTTTCTTTTTTGGCTCTTCCAAAGTCAAACTATGGCTCAGTAAATCAGGCATGTTGTTGCCAACAGCTGGAGATTTAACTTGAGGTCTAATATTAAGGCCATAAATAAAGAACAATTTTAATGCTGCTACAAAACCAGACACCTGTGATAATGTATTAGTTAAGAATGCGTACAGACAATCACTGCAACCAACTATTAACAAATTAAGTTGAAATACTGAACTCAAATAAACAAACTTACATGGTCAGATAGGGAACCTTTTGGATCTGTAAGAACTAGATGTAGACAATTCAGTAGAGATGAATAAAACCTGCAGCAATGAACTGCCACAATCTCTTAAAATTGAATATATCCGCAAGAAAATTATGGAGTAAATCTCTTATCCTTTTTCATATCCCTTTTCCTTTCACTGATGAAAGAAAATGGGGGAAGAGGGAAGAAGCTTTTACCTGGACAAAATGCTGCCTTCCACAAGCACACTCTTAGATGCGAGCACATCCATTACTTTCCTAAGAACCTAATTCAAAAAACACAGACATGCATGTAAACGACTTGTTTATACTATTTAAACCAAGCGGCGAAGAGTATGCATACCTCAATTGTCGACTGCCAAATGTCAAACGGAAAAAAAGACCCAGCCCTTGAGAATGCTTCGGCAAGCATAGTAAAGGCAAGAGTATGATCTTCCCATAAACAAGTGAATCTGGGAAACCTATTCCCATTTTCAGCAGTAGATCTCGATTTGTTGGCATTTGAATTATATAAGTCGACAAATTCTGGATGAAAGCATTCAAGGATGTGCAGAAGGAATTTTATTAACTGAATATTTTCTAAGGGCGAGAATTTTCCTTGATATACACTGGTAAGACGCCTGGTAAAGTAAACAGTTATAACAAGAGTGTCAGAATTTACTTCAAAAGCATGAACAATTAAGTATCAATTATTAAAATAAGAATATCACACTAGTGGATGACAAATGAAAATGACAGCAAACAATGAGGAATAAACAAACCTTATAGTCTCTAGACATTCCATGACAGGTTTAAATGTAGTAGCGTTAGGCGAAATAACAGCTCTGGGAACACCTTGACCCAAGAAAAAAGCAACCATGTTTTGAAAAGAGTCAAGGATGACAATGAAGGAAGAGGAATTGAATTCAAAGGAAACACGATGACATATGCCGTGAATCTGAGACAGATAAAAAATAATAATATTAAGAAGAAACAAAATGTGCAGAGAGATTATAAAAATATTGAATTCAGAAAAAGTAATTGCACACCAAGTGGCAAGTAAGCGTAAATGTTTGAGTGATGTCTTCTCCATATCTACAGGCACCCACATTTGCCACCAATTCCAGTAAAAACAACACATCGCAGGTGACCTACATTTACCACACAAAAATAAGTAAATGATGAACAAAAATTTAATAATGTAAATCTAATATAAAATACCTCGTGAGGAGGAAGGTCGGAGGCAGCAGAGATGAGAGAATGGGAATTGGCGAAGATAAGATTGTGAACAAGTTGATCAACTGAGGTGCCGGCAGGAGCACCGCTTGAGGTTTCATCCCTTAGTGTCAGAAACGCCGTTCTCCACGATCTAACAGACGACGACGATGCCATGTATCAAAAATTACATATGATTTCTACATGAATAAACATTCAAATCGATCCACCACCTCCACCGTCTGTTCTAGCCAGCCAACCGCCACATGCGTATTTGCCTTGTAGGGTTTATACCAGTGATGTTTTCATTGGTTGATTCAAATATTGCTTAAACATACTACTAACATTTGAAATTCAGTATCTTAACATCATATTTTGTAGGGAGAACGACATTTTCCCACCCAAGGTTTGGCAAAATACCTTTCGCACCCATCAAGTTTCAAAATGACACTTTCCCACGCACTGTTATGTTCTGTTAGAAAAATCCGTTCTAAAGAAGAGTAGAATGGTCAATTTCACTTAAAGCCTCATAAATCCAAATTTTAAAATTGAAATCTGGTCCGTGTAATTTTTCCCTTTCCCTTTCTCTTTTCTTTTCTTTTCTTTTCTTTCTTTTTTCCCGTATCTTTTTTTTCGCCATCATCTCTTCCTTCTAAGCTGGAGGTTGCAACGCCAGCGTAACCTACAACCACTAGCTGGGCTGGCAACGTCGCAACCTTCAGTCACAAGTTGGCCTCCTACTGGCGCCCAACCCGCCTCTCTCGCCGCCTCCAACGACTCTGCCAGCCTCCCTCACCAACTCTTCATTGCCCCAAACCCATTCTGCTTACCTCTCCACCGAGTCGCCGCCTCAAAGACCTCCACTCTCCTTCGTAGTTGCAGCGCCCCGCAACTGCGAGCAGCCGCATCCAGCCTCCCCGCCATCCGCCGCCACCTCCATCTGCCTCATCGTCCCCCACCAATTACTCCCCATCATCTCACAACCCCACCCCTGCCTTTGTAGCCATTGTTTAGAGAAGTTCGTGTTTGACGATTGAAAGTGGATTGTTTTGTTGACTTTGTGGAGTTTAATTTGGTTTTGAAGCGTTGTTTTTATTTTTACTTTGTGGAGCATTTGGGCGATTTCCGCGATTTCCAACCCCTTCACATAGTTACCTTGCCAAGTCGCCCACTACCCGTTCGACCAAAAAACCCCACCCAACAGCCTCTATATTGTTAAGCTGCAGCTACTATTCTCAATTTTTTGTTCTGTGGTGTAACTATTCAATCTGCTAAGCTTGGTTGAACTATTTTAACCTTTGATAAGAACAAAAGTGCGAGGTCATTTGTGTTTGTATTTTCCTACATGTACTTTTGTGCATGGATACTGAATAGAGTGATGAAGCAGGTGATGAGAGTTTTGTTTTTGTAATTTGATAGTGCTATGGATGTTCTGATATTAATTTTGCGCATTTGAAAATTTTGATGGGTTTGTTGAAAGTTGGTAGATCTTGTGTTTTTTGAGTTTGTGAAAAAAAATTGTATATGAATTTTGGTTAAATTATAGTAAAATATTATTTTTGATAAAAAAAAAAAATTGGAGGGATAAATTGGTAATTTATGTTTTTGTATTTGTATATAACAGAGCAAGGTTCTGAAAACTGGCTAGGGAGCTAACCCGGCCAAATGGTCGGTTCCCGGTTCGAACGGTTTGACCGGTCCGACCGATTGGTCGGACCGGTGACGTCAGCATGCTGACGTTAGCATGATGTCATGCTGATATTAGCATGCTGAAATAAGCAAAAACGTAAAAAAGCCAAAAAATTCAGATTCTCCATCTAATTAAAGTTTAAAAACCATCAAACCAACCCTAGGCTACAACAATAATAAAACCATCAAAGTTTGATAGTTAAAGTTTACAAATTCAATCCTCAAGTCTAAAGTCTAAACTCTAAAGTTTTGAACAACATTAAAGTCATTACAAAGTAATATCAATTATCAAATATGAATCCACCAACGGCCAATCATCAAAATTACAAAATATCAAAATACCTACCAATCCACCAACCAACATATAAAATTACACAATATCGATCCATTCCACCAACCCAACCACAAACAAATTCAATAGCAGCTCACGGTAAGTGAATGGAAAAAGGAGAAACCAAACAGATTCTTCAACAGGTTAACCCATCATAAATTGATTATCCACATCATTATCCGAGTCATCATCATTATCATCACCATCAACTACAAATTTAGCAAAAATTAAAAACATAAGTTAAAATTTATAATGTACGTTGTTTTTTGATATTATAAATTAAAATAGTTACCAAGTTGGTTAAAAGTTAGAAAACAACCTTGTGAACCACCTGCTGAATCATAATAGGGTTGGCCATCAACACTGATAGGAATAGATCCTTCTTCGTAAAGTGTTTGCTCCAATTCATCTAAATTGAAGTCATCACCCTCCTGTTCATCATCAGCAATCCAAAATTCTATTATGTCAATGTTTTCATAATCGATAGGATCACAACTGTTTTTCTTGTAACACATCCTGAAAGACACGCCAAATAAAAATATCACTAAAAATACGAGATAATAAAAATATTAAAATTGCCAATGCTTTATACCTACTTTTCAAACGCAAGTTATAATTGATAAAAACCAAATCATTCAACCTTTGATGATCCAATCTATTCCTTCTTTTTGTATGGATACGTTCGAAAACACTCCAATTTCGCTCACATCTCGAAGAGGTTGAAGTTTGGCTCAGAATCTTAATTGCAAACTCTTGCAACTGTGGAGTACTGTCTATACCCATATGTCCTCCACCATTCATCTAATTAAAAGTTAAGAGTGTTAAGTGTTAACCATATGAAATAATCAAATAAACAAATTCATAACTTAGAAATTGGACTTAAAATTGAGAAATTTAATAAGTATCACATACCAGGTCGTGTGGTTCTGCAAGTTTGAAAGGCAAGCTCACGAGAAAAGCTTTCCTCGCGATCTCGATATTTTCTACTTTCTTCCACTACCCTTGTCTTGTTCAACTTGAATGCACTTGCTTTATTATCGACAACATCAAGGAAACCATGCATAACCTCTGGTTTCCTGTAGAAACTTGCACGGTCATACTGAAAAGCCGGATTCAAATAATAAGCAGCAGCGTGAATGTCGCGACGCAAAAGCAAATCCTATCGCTACTTAATAATTTCGGTATAAGGCTTGTACATTGTCTTTCTCTTTCTAAAGAACTTCTTGATTGCTTTTTTGGCTCTGTACATGCCATCATACACGTATCCTATTGCAGGTCTCTCATCTAAGTCCACAATTCGCAACAAACGCATCAAAGGAGCCACAATTTTGGAAACGTAACCCATGTTATCCCAAAATTCATTATCTAGAATTATGGGAACAACATTCTTGCCTTTACTACTTCTGGCATATCGAGAGTCCACAAAAAACCTATCAGTCACCATAGCTTGCAAGTCATGTTTATGCTCATGTAGACTTCTTAATGCAATGAAAGTAGTAGCAAACCGAGTTGCACCCGGTCGTATGATTTCTCTCCAACCCTGTTCAAATGATACATACAATACATAATAGATGTTAGTAAATTAATACAAAATGTTTATTAATAACTTGACAAAAACATGAGTTAAAGGTTTATAAGCTATTACCTCTCTTTTCCTCAACCAAGCTATCAAAATTGTGTGATTATACACAAACTTTGTTACTTCAGAAGCACGTTTTGCAAGATGCACTATGTGGTCCAACTCAGATATATCTTTCAAAATTAAATTTAAGCAATGGGCTGCATAGGGTGACCAAGTAATATTCTCATACTTCTCAGATAACATTCTTCTAGCAGCTTTATAATTTGCTCCATTATCCGTGACAACATGGACAATATTGTTTGGTCCAACCCATAAAGCCATTTCCTCAAACAACTTGAATAATGTAAAGGCATCCTTTACAACATCTGAAGCATCCACTGATTTTATAAAGCAAACACCTGTAGGACAGTATACAAGAAAATTAATCAATGATCTATGGCAAGTATCAGTCCAACCATCAGCCATTAATGTACATCCAACCTCTTGCCAAATCTTCTTATAATTGTTAACAATTAATTGGACTTCCTTCTTAGCATCTCTCAACAAATTCACACGCATAGCATCATAAGTAGGTTGTTTATACCCAGGGCAAATTGCAGCTACAGCATCCAACATAGGCTGAAAATAAATTGAATTTAAAGCATTCATCGTGATGCAAGCATCATAAAAGAATAGTGCAACAGACATGTCTGCTCTACACTTTGCATCTTTTCCAGCCAAAACACTCCTAATTGAAGGCTGAGACCCTGAAGTAGTTCGTGGAGCAAAATAATTACTAACCCTCGTAGTTTTCTTTCTCTTACTGCTCGTAAATTATTTTTTACCGTCACTACTACCATCTTCATTCATGCTCATTTGTGATGGGAAAACCTCTTCATTTTCTTCATCTAACTAATCACCCTTAAATTCATGTACTGCAGCACCAAAAGGAGTTGCATGCTTCTAAAAATCTTATTTTTCCTTATTTTTTACTCCTATTTCTTTTGATGATTCATTCATATTGAATCTAACATCAAATGGAACCTTCGGACACTTTCTAATATCCCCTTTTACTCCTGCTACGTGTTGCTTCATTCTGAAAATACCACCACCTCTAGTAACCTTGCCACAATGAAGACAAGATAATATTTTCTTTTCATCTTTATCAACACTCTCAAGAACATGTCCCCATGCTATATCGGTATTTCCTCGAAATAGATTGCGAGGAAATGGACGCGGCTGATGAGTTATGTGCAGATGAAGATGATGACATTCTCTTCCCTGGAAAGTGGCAACCAACAATCAGTTTGTTATAATTTATAAAATATAACTTTAAATCAATTTGTTTTTCAGTGAAGAACATTTCATGCTACTCAATGAAAGAACCAAGCAAATTGATAAGTCAAAACCAAAAACCTGTGTTATTATCACAATTCACAACATGAATAAACTCCCTCTTTCAATTACTCTTTACTGTAATAAACTAATAATAATGCTTCATGGTGCAAGCAAGTAAGAAACTTCCACTGTTCCACAGATCACAGTTTCACCATCAATTTCTAATTTCCTAGGAGAAATTGACAGATTCACTGATTCACATTTCACAATTTCACATCACATTACAATAAGTCAATAATACAATATCATGAATCAATTCAAATTTCAAAACCAAAAACAAGGGGCGAATTTACTGTTTACATTTTACACAATCTACATCATAAATATTAAATACAAAAGCCAGCCACTAACATGCAGGTTCATAAATCTGTAAGCCATTAACATGGTTCATAAATCTGTACATAAACCATAGAAGACAGAGAAAGATAGGAATCTGTAGATTGTTACGTGGTCACGGCAAATGGCAGCTAGTAGATGGCGGTAGACGGCAGCAGATGTGAAGGCTGAAGCTGAAATCTGAGCTGAAATGACTAATCCAGCAGATCAGCAATGGCGATGGTAATGATTGAAGAGTTCACGTTGAAGACTGGAAGACTGGAAGTTGAAGAATGAAGTGCTAAAGCAGAGTAAAGCAGACTGCAGACCGAAGACTTGAAGACTGAAGAGTGAAGACGTGAGGCTGAATCGCTGAAGCTTAGCTAAAAGCTTGAAGGAGATCTGACTTCTGAGATTGCGAATGGAGGACACGAAGAGGAGGATTAGACTGGAGAGTGGAGGAGATCGCGAATGGCAGTAGCAAACCAAGATGAAAAACTGAAAAAGTGAAAAACTGAAGAAGGGGCAAGACGACTTTGTATCTGTAGCTCAAAAGCAAATTGAAAATGTGTTAAAAAATAAAAATTTTGAGGGTTTGGTTTGAGTTTGACAGTTGACACTTTGACTTTATGTGTGCGCATGTGGTTTTTAATTTTAATTTTTTTTTTTTTGTTATTTCATATTTTCATGTGTTAAACCAGAAATGTGTGGACTAGAAATCTGTTAAATACCAGTTGGACCGTCAGTTTGCTACAGTGCGACGGTCCAACCGCGGTTCGAAACGGCTTGATGGTAAATCCCGGTTATTTGCTCTCTTCAAACCGGAAATGCAAGCGAGTCCCGGTCGGACCGGTTCGACCGCCCGGTCCAGTCCAGGTTTCAGAACCTTGTAACAGAGGGCATATCAATGATCTTATATTTAAAGAGTGTGTATATTGGTAATTGAATTGTTGACATGACACAAAATAATAAGAAAAATATTAAATCAAATGATAAAGGTATTTTCGTCTTTACAACCAAATAGTAACGGATTTTGCTAACGGATCATAATGATGGGTGGGAAAGTGTCGTTTTGAAACTTGATGGGTGGCAAGTTATTTCACCAAACCTTGGGTGGGAAAAAGTCGTTCTCCCAGCATATGAAACACATATTGTAGTTTGTAAAAAAATTTAACATAACTTATTTTTTATAAAGGAATTTCAATTTAAATTAGTTTATATTATAATTTCAAATGTATGATATAAGAATTTTATTATCGATTTACTGTAATATATAGTTTTGATTTCTAAACCATCGGGATTATAACGAATGAATGAATGAATGATTAAAAATTTAATGTTATAAACTTAAATTTAAATAGTTTAATCCTTAAAATGAGTAATTGATTGTCCGAAATAGAATTTGAGCCTGTTTGGGATTAATAGAATTTGAGCCTGCTTGAGATTCTTGTAACTTTAAGTTAATTAGTTTTTTCCTAACTTAAAAAATGATTTAATGTGTGTTTTAAATACAACTTTTTTTTTTTTTTTTGGTAACTACTAATTATATAAAAAATAAAGGATTACAGATATTATTTTTATAATTGCTGTGATTTTAAAAATTGTGTATTTGATAAATAAGATTTTGAAATTGCAATGGTATGGATAATGACAAAAAAGACATTTTACTTTTAAAATATTTTTATAATTATAAATTTGTAGTTTGATAAGTATTTTAAAATATATTAAAATGATTTATATTAAATAAATTATTAATTAAAAAATAATTTGAAATATTGGATTGGAGCCATAGCCGATCCCATCAGAATCGGAAACTCACGATCTACAAGAATTTGTGATTCCATCAGATTTCGATGATATTTAGGTTACAGAAGACGGTTGAATATTTCACCATCTTGTGTAACCAAAATAAGTTTCGAGATCCTGTAAAAGTACTGGATTCTGAAAGATCAAAAGTTTTTGATCTCAACAAAACTAGCTGTGGCTTTAACGTGCTACCATAACTGTGAAAAAAAAATTGCAAATTGATAAAATCTGGTGGGCAAATTTTCCATCTCCAAGGAAAACCACTTTGACCAATCAACGGTGGTATGAGTATATTTTGCATTTTACAATCTAGAAATCAACTTTAGAAATAATATGATTTTAAAATATGTTTACCAAAAACTTTTATTATCTTAGCTTAAAAGTTAATTGATTATTCTTAAACTACAACAATTCTAAACACACACAAATTTTTCTATCTATTATCTATTGAATTATAATTCCAATTTAAATATTGCAAATGTTTTAAGGATTATTTTGCATGTCAAATATTATAATAAGTTGATGTTTTAAGGTTTTCGGTTCATAAATCAATTGTTTAAAATAACCTCAAATTTCCAATTAGTGATTAACACTTATTTATTGTAAGGATGTTTCCAAAAATTAATAATAATATTTCAATCCACATATATGGAAAAAGTCTTCCATGCATTTGGTGTACTATAACGTTTATTCATGTCAACCATTTTAATTATCACTTATTAAGATTAAAGGTTAATCACATTTACCTCCCCTGAGGATTCAATGATAAAATATGCATAAAAAAGATGATTAGAGTGACACATAACCCCACATTATTAACTTCTCTTATAACACTGTTAATGGAGGAAGGATATGCTTTAAGAGAGAACGACTTTTTCCAACTCAAGGTTTGGCAACATGAAACTTTCCCACCCATGAAGTTTCAAAACGACACTTTCCCACCCACCGTTATGTTCCGTAAGGCAAATCTGTTCTGAAGAAGGGTAAGATGGACTATTTACATGAAGCTCTAAAAATCAAAATTTAAAATGGAAACTTTGCCTGAATGGTTGCCACATGTCCCACTAAAGTACTTAGAAAAGAAGAAGGGAGAAGCCTTTTCTCCTTGTTCTCTATAGTCTGTAACCCTCCCTGTTCTCAGTAACTTAAGCACTAGCGACTTGGGGTTGGCGAATGCCGACTTGGGGTTGGCGACTAACGAAAAGTCATTTTCCTTTTCTCCTTGTTCTCAGCTATTAGCGACTTAGGGTTGGCGAATGCCGACTTAGGGTTGGCGACTGGCAAGAGAAGAGATTGTGTGGAGAAAAATCTAGGGTTTCTTTGAAATTGTAGAACTACAATGAGGATTATCACTACCTGCGGATTTAGGTATATTTTCCTGTAAATCACATTACTTTGTGTTTTCATTGTGTTGTTTATTTCTGTCCCTCAGTGTTTTTATTATCTCCTCATTTGTTGATCGTTGCTTCTTATTTGGATTTTTTACTCTTGTTTCCGCATTCTAAGTGTTTGATTAATTATCGCACTGGATATATTGTAGTTTTCCCACCATATGCTCAATCATGCTTTCCACAAACAAAGCCATAGCTGACTCTATTAAATCTATAGCCTCCTCTTCTTCTCACCAATGCCAATCATCATCAGCCGAAAAAATCGCCTACAATTATGACCTTCTAATTGAAATATTTGTTTGCCTCCCTATGAAATCCTTGGTCAAATTTAAAGCTGTATCTAAGCACTTGATTTCCTTAATCTCCAACCCCAACTTCTCCCTCCGCCTAAACTTTATTCCTAGATCTATCTTTGCCCTCATTTTGCTTTTAAAAGATAGTCCTAAAAGTTTGTGTTAAAAATTTAACGCTGCAGGTTGAACATGTGATATAAGAACAAAATGTTTTAGCTGCAAATAAATTCATTGAGCTATTTTTTGAGTTAATAGCGGCCAGACTTACCATCATTGCAAATGGAAAGCTAGTGTGATATTTGCCTTCCCAAGGTCCTTAGAAATTCTAGAACTAGTGGCAATCAGGAATATTTTTGAGAAATAAATATGAGAAAGATTTTGTATCTGCAACCTAATTCTGGAGTAAATCCCATGGTAATCAAAGATTTATGATTTCATAATTTGTAGATATCTCATTTTTTTAGATATACATTCATACTATCATAGAGCTTCTCTTCAAACATGTTATCAAGACAGAGATGGTACATGCAGGAACATTTTTCATATTATGCTACGTTTGGTGTGTCATAGTATCCTTTCATATGACTTAATAGTGCTTGGTTTTGCTTATAGTTAATCGAGAAACTATGTGAGAACCCCTCCTGGAGAAGTGAAGTTAAAAGTGATGAAACAAATAGGAAAAGAATGTCAGATTGACTGGTACACTTAAAACCTTGGTTTGGAAAATTATGTCTCCTTTTTTGTTTTTGTTTTTTTTTCCCTGAAGCACTTATAAATATTGTAGATACACTATGATAGGACAGATGAGTGCAAAGAGTGATGTTTATAGCTTTGGAATTGTCCTACTGGAACTCTTAACTGGGCGGAAGCTTGTTGATCATACTCTGTCGTGTGAGTAGCAGAGCCTTGTGACATGGGTATGAACTTCATCTTTGTTCTTTTCTACCACTAACTTGTTTTGGAACATACTTATTTTTCCTATTTTGTTATTCTCTATACTGATAGATAACAAATTCACATACGTGTAAGCTTCATTCAAGCTTATTTTTATGCAATTGTGGATTGTTTTAGGCAACTCCAAAACTTAGTGAAGATAAGGTGAAGCAATTCGTTGCGCTAAGTTAAGTGGAGAATAGCCTCCTAAGGCAGTTGCAAAGGTAATGGTAACTTCGACTGAAAATAATACATCAAAATCGAGCTTTCTTGGTGGAAGAGCAAAGGATTGTGAAGAAGGCTTTGAAGATCTAGAAAGCAAAGGAAAATCAAGCTTCAAGGAGCTAGAGAGAGGGAGGGTGAAAGAAAATTTTTTTGGATTTTGAGAAATGAATGAGAAACTGTAAAAGCTTCTTTCTTTGTATTGAATTCCCTACTTTTATTGGGTTTGAATTGATAAAATTACTTATACATATGCACAGTAATTTTACAATCTGGATTCTTATTTAAGAATGTAGTAATGTTGATACTTAGTTTTATTTGGATTTAAATTGACAAAATTTAAATATAAATGCGTTGCAGCAACTACAGGGATAAACTGGTAATTTTAAAGGTTTCAAATTTTTAAAAATCTAATTGTAACTTCATTGATTTAAAACATTATTTTTAATAAAAATATAGAGAGACAAATTGGTAATTTATATTTTCATATATTGTTAAGGGTATATTAATAATTTCATATTTAAGAGTGGGTTTATTGGTAATTGATTTTGTTAACATGACATATAATAAAAAAATTATTAAATCAAACAATAAAGGTTATTTTTGTCTTTATAATCAAATAGTAATAGATTTTGCTAACGGAACATAACGGTGGGTGGGAAAGTGTCGTTTCGAAACTTCACGGGTGGGAGAGTGTTGTTTCGCCAAACCTTGGGTGATAAATTGTTGTTCTCCCTGTGTTTTTACTACTGACATTACTTAAATAACCTTTCATGGTGGTGTTATTTTTAAAAATTTTATCATACCTACCCATGTAACCATATATAAATGAATGGAGCTAAAATTATCTTTAATTAATAAATCAATCACTCAACAAAACATGAGCCTTAAAGGTACACATGTTATATTAAAGACAAAAATAATATTAAGATATTGTGATTAGAGAATAATCATGCTAGTTGGTATGTACAAGTAGCCATTCTGCATTGATTATACGAATGAATTAAACCATTGATTGGAGTAGTGTAAGGAAAACCAGAAGGGGGGCGTCCTCCACCGAACGCATTTAGTAATGGGCATGGGCATGGGCATCACATCAGTCTCAGCTCAAGATGAGGAAGAAGAATAATTTTGTCATTATTCATTTAAAAGTATTATCAGTGTCAGTGTCAGTATCAGCATCATGCAAATGGCAGTGTTCAATTACCTGTGAGGCAAGGCGATTGCGTCCCCTGTTTTAAAAGGAACCTTCTAGTACTCGCTGTTACTGCCCATTGCACGATGACACGTGGTTTTGCGTTTCCCCCTCATTTACTAATACGGAGTGTGGACCTCTTCTTCTTTCTTTGTCACTCAACCAAACAAAGGATGCTGATGGGACTTGGCTATTGTCTACGTCTAATACAACCAAACTTATTCCAATCACACTCATTTTAACTAGACCTTATCCACTTCACTTTTTGGAAATTAAGCCCTCTATATTATATTGATCATCACTACCATTAAGCAAGCATCTTTTAACAACTATTTCCTCCAAAATTCCAGATTTATACTAACATGCCCTATTTCTTTGTGTGTCTCTGTCTATTTCTGGAACTGCACCACTCAATTATCAAAGAACACAAATTATTAATTAGGAGTTGGGTATATTGTATTTCCTTTGTGAAGGAGAAAGTGAGTACATATCACATTAATTGTAACTCATAATTACCCATCGCAATCATCTGCGTTTCTTTTGTTGACTCATGCCAATCCTCATTAACGATACCCATGTGAAGCTTACATCAACATTCATTCATAAATGAAATGACGCCCCTCTGAGGTTAACCAATTAATCAATTATGCTGCTACACATTCCGGAAAAATCATGAAATATACAAACAGATACCAACATTGTAGCTTGACAGAACTTAATGCATATTAAAATGGAATTGGTAGGGCCAAGAGTGCATCTGATTAGACCACAGATAAATATCCGAATAACTTGAAAATAACCGGGAAAAGAAAACGGTAAAACCTGATCTGCACGTATCCATTTCTTGTTGCCCGAGTGTCTATATATTATCCAGTCTATACTCGCACGCAATTCCCCCATCTTTATCTCTCTCTCTCTCTCTCTCATATTAGAACCAGAATTCCCATTAACTGGAAATAAGATATCATCTTAAAGCCAAATGCGACCTCCACCATCATCAGTAGCAGCTAAAAACGAAAGCCCCGAATACCCGGTCCTTTCATCCACATCCACTCCAACATGTAATCCTCATACCTGTCGTTGGAAGCCTTACGCCAATTCAAATAACGATTTTGAAGCCAACACAATCCTGGTCCTCATCATCCTTTTCTGTGCACTCACATGCGCTCTTGCTCTCAATGCCGCCATCCGCTGCTTCTTACGAGGCAGTTCCCAGCAACGTTCCCCTGGGTCATCCGACCGCCTTTCAGCTCACCAGAGAAAGCCAACGATTGAGGTAGCGGAAACCTCATTGGTGGCAGCTCCAACGCTTGTGTATTCAGCTGGGATGAAGCTAGCAGGAGAAGAGGCGGAGTGTGTGATTTGCTTGTCAGAATTTGTGGAGGGCGACGTGATTCAAGTTCTGGAAAGATGTAAACATGGGTTCCATGTGCAGTGCATCCAACAGTGGTTGTCTTCTCACCACTCATGTCCCACTTGTCGATGCAATTGTCTGTCTTCTTCTCCATCGTCACAACAACTTATCCACCATAATTCTCAATTAGCTGTGCCCCAGACCGGGCCTTCGATTCTGTAATGTATGCAGTTGAGGTTTTTTATTTTACTTGTAAAAGTTTCAGTATTACTATGTAGCTATAACGAGATTTGCAAACATGATTAGTGCTAAGAGAATCTCTTGTTTTTATCTTGTGGGGAATTAATTGGTATTTTGTCCGGTCAAATTCTCAGTGTTGGGTTGAAAGATGGGGGTTGTCAGCCAGGCAAATTTATGGCCATAGACTCATAACTTTTGTGCTCTATGTAAGTTTCTATTTAGGGGCATTCACATGGATTTTAACAACCACGCGCTGTATGGTTTTAATAAGCCCATGAAGAGATTTATAAATTGGCAATGATCATGCGTTTAAAAATAGAGAAATATCTACACAAAATTGGCCATCAATCTCGTAAAACCAAATAACAATTCAACCACCAATATTTTACTAAAACTACTAATAACCCCGGCTACATTCCACAAAATGCAGGGGGTGAGAAAGAGAGATCATGGCAGGTAGATAATATACTTTTTCGTAAATTTACTCCTTTAAAAGTTCCAAAATTATCGTAAATGCACAGCAAAACTCGTTTAATGTCTCTTCTTCTTCACTCTCATCTGTGAGAACTGAGAACAACTCTTCACTCCCCATCTTCTTTTTTCTTACATCAAATTACACAAAACAACAACCGCCTATTAGGGACAACACGCAAGACTCTCATGCGAAATTTGTTTGTTCTCACCGGTTGCTATTGTCAAAATTGTAAGAGGTGACCCAATTTTTTGCAGTTTTCTTTAATTACTTACACCTATTTGTTTTGAGTTTTTTTAAGTTTGTGGATTATGGTGGTCTTGTGAATGTCTTCTAAGTGTTTGTTCTTCTGTCTGATTGAATAATTCTAAATAGTCTAAATTCTTATTCCTAAAGCATAACGGGATATTTATAGTGGATTTGAAATGTCAATTGCTTTATTTGTAAAACTTTGTGCAATTTCTGATATGCTGCAGATAATGTTCTTCGGTCAGGCATTCTCTTTCTCGGCTTTGCCTCACTTCAACACTTTTTTTTTTTTTTTCTGATTCATCAAAGTATATTTCATCTTGTGGCTTGAATTAAGTCAATGTTATACTCATTATTATTCACGTTCCGGGTAAGTTTAGTTGTCAAACTAGTAAAAACAAATGAATTGTTTCTATTGTGGCTATAGAATCTGTAATAGAAACAAATGAATTGTCATTGTTTAATTAATTTTAAAAAATTTCAGTTGTTCGTTTTATATTTAATTCTTTCATAATTCACATTGTACCTCAGGTTATTTTTTTGGATCAATGATGTAAGTTCATCTTAGTAATGTATTCTTTAATGAATTTTAATTGCCTAGTTATAAAAATCTAGCCCGCAACTTCAGGAAAATTGTATTCACAACAATTTAGTATGTTTTTGTAGGAAGTTGGTTGGGGCAAATAGTACCGCCAGATCAAAATAGTTCAGCCAATCTGAGGTGAGATTATTCTTCTGTTTAGTACTCATCATCCTTCCATAGTTTGTACTACATTTGATCATTAACCTCTTTGAAAATTGGATATCATTTTTTTAATGTGTATTCAATTACTTGTAATTTCTTATCTGAAATAAATTCCATGATCTTAGAACAAGTTCTCTGAGAGAACGAAGACAAGAATAGTAATGAAAGAATTAAAAGGGCTCCTGCATTTTATATGCTCGGTTCAGTTCTGGAGAATGGTGGTGCTTTGGACAGTATCTGTTCTGACCTCGTACTGGCAACTTTTTGTCCAAAGTCTCTTCTCTCAGAAATCTGACTTTTTTACTCGTCATCTTCCTCCAACTACAGGGCTTACAAGACCTGTTTGTGTCATTACTGGTGTAAGTTATCTTCAGTTTTCCCTGGAAATATGTATTCTGTAGCATGTCATATAGTTATTATTCTATAATTCATTGCTTTATTGCTGCAGGCTACATCTGGTTTGGGTGCAGCTGCAGCCTATGCTCTTTCAAAAGAAGGGTTCAGTGTTGTTCTTGGTACACCTCGTTTCATTCTCCTAACCTTCTATCTTTATTTTTCAAGTCATTATGTTACAATGGTAGCTTATTATATTTGTACTTATTAATCAACAACAATAATGCACATGGACCTTTTCTGTGGTCTCCTGAATATTGAGGTCTAATGCTTTTACTCTTGAAGGAAGGATTGGTCGTTGTGAAATTAGAATTTCTGGAAAAAAAGTGCTTGCTAGTCCATATCAAAATCATTGCACAGTTGATCACACCCAACATCGTCTATTCTATGTTTATTAATCCTTCTCTGTAAATCATTATTCAATTCATTTTTTCCATTCAAACTTTAATTCAAGAATGTTATAACTCAATTAGGATCTGAACCATAATAACATTGTCCAATTATTTTTTCCGGTGATTTTGATGTATGATTATTTGAATTTAGTATTTTATATATTCTCTCATTATACATGATAAATGGGTGGTAAAAGTTGTGGTTGTTTATATAATCATATAATAAATGTTTGATTCATTTGGTGCATTTTTTTTTCCTTTTTAAGTTTACAAGATATGTTACTGAATTTAATATTGTATATGCAGCTGGGCGGTCATCCCATTCATTATCAAAGGTATATTTTATGTAATAAATTATCTTTTAATATGTAACCCTACTTTACTCTTTTAATAATGCTTGTGCATATTACTTGTTGACAGACTATGAAAGGAATACTGAGTAGGAATAAAGATGCGCACGTCAAAGCTTTTCAGGTCGATCTGTCATCTTTCCAGTCGATCTTTAAGTTTAAAGACTCACTTCAGCAGTGGCTTTTGGATTCTAATATGCATTTTTCTATCCAACTCTTAATAAACAATGCTGGGATATTGGCAACGTCATCTCGACTCTCATCTGAAGGCCATGATCAGTAATTACTTCTTTTCTTTTCTTTTCTTTTGAAGATGGGCTTCATTGCTGAAATAACATTTCATTTATATAATAACCTGTGGAAATTTGATCAAACATAGACCCTATGGTGCCACTGCCAAGTTTTGTAAGTTCCAGCACATTGCCTTTTCTTTTGATGAGAGAAATGCAATAAGACATTTTCCATCTCACCCCACTATGTTTCCACCTGAGCAAAGCCCAGGATAGTGTCAGTTGACTCAGTACAATTGCAATTTGCTTCTCTTTGTGTCACATAACTATGTTGCTAGTAAGAGGGTACCTCAACCACCAGCACTGGCAAACTCAATCTCTCTTTATGCTCTTGGAATGAAATCCTTAGTACATATAATTTTTATCTCGTCTTTTCCATTCTTAGGGATTCTATATTTTTTGTGTGTATAATATGTTTCCTTGTTGTCTTGCATGCTGCGTTAGGCTGCTTCAGTTTTATTCTTTGTGTGTAGAAATAAATGATGATTGTGTTACATTATATAATATATTCTTGTACACATCATATGTGAGTCAGTCTTTTTACACAGGCCATACAAAGTTTTTAGGTTAACTTTTTTTTGTACATAAACTGTCTCCATCCTATGGGAGTAATCTGACACCTTAATGGATACATATATTCTTCTTGTGCTTGGTACCCATCCTGATCACCTATTTCTCTTGAAGTATGTCATTATATAGGTGACAACTGTCCTTGTTTTTCCCAGGATGATGAGTGCAAACTACATTGGTGCATTCTCTCTTACTAAACTTCTATTACCACTTCTCAGAAACAGTCCTGTTCCTTCCCGGATAGTGAATGTTACTTCATTCACACATCGAAATGGTAAGAAGACTTCTAAGCTTTTGTAGACGAAGCATTTAAGTGAACAAGGCTTTTTTTTTTTTTTTTTTTTTCCCCATTGTTTCCATAAAATCATCATTGGAACAAGTTAATTTTTTGAACAGGGGCTATGTTATCACTTTTCTTATTTGATGTATACAATTTTCCATATGTTGTGATTTTTAGGAGAAATAAGAAGACAAAGGAAATGTCTTAACATGAACCTTGATGTCTGAAGCTCAGCTTGATATGCCTCTTAATGTGTTGAATGAGGGGAAAAATGCTATAAGAGAAACCTCAGTTTACCATCTACTACAATTGCGTTTAAAGCTAAATTATCTATGATAATGTTCAAACTAGAATGTTCTGGTAAAACATAACTGCACTGGCTCTTTCTTCTTCAGTGTTTGGTGCACAGATTGACAATGAGACTGTCACTGGGAAGTGCTTCTTGAGATCTAAAGATTATCCATTTGCACGTGTCTATGAGTTTTCCAAATGTAAGCTAATGATGCCTCATAAAATTTTCAGATTTATTTTCTCCTCATTTTAACATTTTTATCATTTTGTGTTAATAGTATGCCTACTTCTTTTCACTTATGAGCTTCACCGACAACTTGGCTTGATGGATAACTCTCGACATGTCTCTGTCATGTATGGTTACATACTTCGTTTTTGTTAATTTATGAAAAATAGTTTTGGCGTTGAAGCAACTTGTAGTTGATAATTCATTTTATAGATAGATCTTTTACTTCATGAGGAAAAATGATTTTAATAATTATTGTTTCTGTTTCACTAGAAAATTTAGTTTTGGTTTTGTTTAATATTGAAAGTGCTGCGGATCCTGGTGTCGTGAAAACAAACATCATGCGAGAAGTTCCTTCATCTATTTCTCATGTGGCATTTATTGTATTGAAGCTTCTTGGCCTTCTGCAGTTGCCTGAAAATGGTATCAATAGTATTCTTGATGCAGCCCTTTCCCCACCCGTAAGTTTTCCTTCCTCAAATCTTTGTATACTTATAACTTAACAGGGACTTTCTATTGTTGTTGTTTTATATTACTACTATATTACCCTTCCAGTTTAAGGTGTTGCACATATCAAGTTACCATCTTAGGTAAATTGGTAGTACACAAACTATGTGGAGAAATTTTTTTGTTTATTATGTATTCCTAAATTCAGTTTCCCATCAATGAAAATGTATGTGCCTGAAGGAAGCAATCTTAGTCTTTTAATGTTAGGAAGTATTTAACATGGCCCTGGTAGCTATGATTTTTAGGACACTAATCCCTTTGAAAATTTGAAACTTGTACAAACAGCTATAAAGAATACATCTTCAGCTAGCTAAGATATGTTAAAACTTTAACTTTAGAAGGCTCTATGCAAATTCTATTGTCAAACTTTCACATTCTCAAAAGCTTCATGATGGTTTTGCTTATGTGGTTTTACAAGCTAACGGACACTCAATAATGTTTTAGTATATATACATAAATATCATACATATGTGTAAGCAAATCCTCTTATGTAAAATTTTGAGAGTTACTGAGTCCAACACCCTAAATATATATATACAAGCCTATAAATTCGAGTTTTGTAGATGATCGAATATTCATATTTCTACTAGTCACAAATACTTTTCATGGTTTCTTGAATCATTGACCAGTTTCTTGGAAGCTGTAGCTGAGGTTGATAAGATGATTGTGGTGCTGCTCAGTTTTAATAGTTTTAGTAGTTCAAATGAGATTGTTTATTTTTAAGATTGATTATTTAGAATTCATGATGCTGCATTGTATTTACAGGACTTTGGTGTAATTTTGTCCACTTTTGGAATTTTTAGATTTAGTGAGTGATATCTGGAGAGTTCAACTGAATCTGTTTTTTAGCTCATCAGTTGTTTGTTAACCTCAGGAAACATCTGGAGTTTACTTTTTTGGTGGAAAGGGTAGGACTGTAAACTCTTCTGCACAATCCTACAACTCCAGACTTGCAGAGGAACTTTGGACTACTTCATGCCATCTCTATGAAGAGTACGAACGTGCTTGCAAGGAATTATCGAAATAAGCATAATAAATTAAGGAAAGGATAAAATCCTGGATATAAGAGGTCAGGCCTATTATTTGCGGTTGGAGTTTCATGGTTCAGGAGAAACATTGCCTTTGAAAGTTGGTGTGACAGTGAAACAGGCCGAAAACAACTATTGTGGGAGTGGGACTAGATATTTCTGATGTGCTGAATTGCTTAGGCATGGGAGCAAATCAGCAAAACCTTGCCTTGCCGCCCCTAAACCCATGGGAGCTACACAATGTTACACAATTTCATGAGTTTATTTTACATGGTTTTTGTTTTACATTGGTTTCTATATATTTTAATTGCTTGGTTTAGGCCTTAGTCCTTACAACTGAAAATAGAGAATGGTAATTAATTGAGTTTATTGTACGTGCTTTATCATAGTTTCTATATGTATACGTTAATAGATTTATATTTAAAATCACTTAATACAAAGAATTAAACAGTAACATTTGTACATTTTAATATTTTATTATACGTGACATTGATGTGTAAATAATGAGTTGATATAGAAAATAAAATATCAATGTTATCATAATAATAATAAAAAAATAAAGTAAAAGATATTAGANATCGAATATTCATATTTCTACTAGTCACAAATACTTTTCATGGTTTCTTGAATCATTGACCAGTTTCTTGGAAGCTGTAGCTGAGGTTGATAAGATGATTGTGCTGCTGCTCAGTTTTAATAGTTTTAGTAGTTCAAATGAGATTGTTTGTTTTTAAGATTGATTATTTAGAATTCATGATGCTGCATTGTATTTACAGGACTTTGGTGTAATTTTGTCCACTTTTGGAATTTTTAGATTTAGTGAGTGATATCTGGAGAGTTCAACTGAATCTGTTTTTTAGCTCATCAGTTGTTTGTTAACCTCAGGAAACATCTGGAGTTTACTTTTTTGGTGGAAAGGGTAGGACTGTAAACTCTTCTGCACAATCCTACAACTCCAGACTTGCAGAGGAACTTTGGACTACTTCATGCCATCTCTATGAAGAGTACGAACGTGCTTGCAAGGAATTATCGAAATAAGCATAATAAATTAAGGAAAGGATAAAATCCTGGATATAAAGAGGTCAGACCTATTATTTGCGGGTGGAGTTTCATGGTTCAGGAGAAACATTGCCTTTGAAAGTTGGTGTGACAGTGAAACAGGCCGAAAACAACTATTGTGGGAGTGGGACTAGATATTTCTGATGTGCTGAATTGCTTAGGCATGGGAGCAAATCAGCAAAACCTTGCCTTGCCGCCCCTAAACCCATGGGAGCTACACAATGTTACACAATTTCATGAGTTTATTTTACATGGTTTTTGTTTTACATTGGTTTCTATATATTTTAATTGCTTGGTTTAGGCCTTAGTCCTTACAACTGAAAATAGAGAATGGTAATTAATTGAGTTTATTGTACGTGCTTTATCATAGTTTCTATATGTATACGTTAATAGATTTATATTTAAAATCACTTAATACAAAGAATTAAACAGTAACATTTGTACATTTTAATATTTTATTATACGTGACATTGATGTGTAAATAATGAGTTGATATAGAAAATAAAATATCAATGTTATCATAATAATAATAAAAAAATAAAGTAAAAGATATTAGACAGAAAATCTAAGGGTATTATTAACAGTAATATTATATTTACCGACTCAAATATCGATTTTTATATACCGGCTCATTACCTAACAACCCAAATCTCAAAATTTAACTCAGAATCAGTATGTCAAATCGGTCCTGGGTCGGTAAGCCTAGCATTACTGTATTATTAAAGATTTGTTGCATTATTTTTAATCAAAATTGATGCATAAAAGAAAATAGTGGAGAGAGGTCAGTCGTGACTCGTGACTGCTGACTAGTGGTGTTAATTCACGTGGCTAACACGTGCTTGCCTTGATGAGAAGTGGAAGGAAGAAGGGTTTTAGGGCTCTTGCGTAAAAGCCCTTAAAAAATTCAATTACGGAGTAGAAATAGAAGATCTATGGTTTGAAAGTTGGAGAAAGATGTGGTTGGGAAATTTAAAAGCAATTCGAAACACATTGGTGAGGTATTACTCAAGAAAAGCTGCAGTGAACGTGAGGAAAATAAACCCTAAAGTACCAACTCAGCAAGCTTATTCAATTGCTCAATCTCTTTACGACATCATCAAGCAAAATGGTCCTCTTTCCGTCTCCAACACTTGGATTCATGCCAAGGTTTTCTTTTTTTCTTAATTTTATTTTAATAATTTTGTCTTAGTTTTGATGAATTGATTCCTGCTAGAAGTTATATAGGATTTGGATATGTCGTCAAATGATTTTAAATAAATACTCATTGAAGGAAATAATTGATTGAGACGGTCAAGGCTCCAGCAATAGTTAAAGGTTTTTATGTTATGTTGTGTAGGTTGGCTCTGAATTTCATGGATTAAAGCCTTAGATTTTGTATTTTTTTTAATTTGAGACTAGGCCATCAAAAATATATGTTGAGTTGTTGTTTGGTATGACTATGACAGGATGCTGGGATTGATGGGTTGAATAGCAAAACCCACATGAAAATAATGATGAAATGGATGAGGGGGAGGAATATGTTGAAGTTGCTGTGCGATCATGTTGGTAATACTAAGAAATTTCTCCACACTACTCTTCCTGAAGAACCTCGAACTGACAAGTTGGAGAATGAGAAAGAGAAGGAGAAGCCTCGGGTTAAAAAGAGGAAGAAGCATCCGGTTAAAAAGGGGAAGAAACTAAAAGCATAAGATGCAGCTAGGAGAACATTACCTCCTATTGTATTTCTTTCATTGTTGGATTAAATTTGAGTGATTCCTTTTGGGCTGGAACATTTTTTTCTCTGTTGTGGTTCCGATGGACTATGATATTGCTTATGCTTTGAGTTTGAATGCTGGCCTGTTCATCCCCATCTTTTACTTGAGATGTTTTTAGATGCCTCTTCTGATACAAGATACCATTCTTTTTTACTTGGGAAGTATTACTAGAGGACTTATCAACTAAATTCCTACCATTTTTTATGGCATCAAATGAATGATAAGTTTTGCATTCAAACTCACGTTATACTCTAATTGATAGATAATCATATTCATTAAGAGCGTATTATAGGCATTTAAATTCTGTGGTAAAAATCAATCTGATGATTTGTTTTTTTACATTTCATTTGTAAAATACAATTTGATGATTGTTTTGATTTTCCAAAGCAACGAATTAGTGTATAATATCTTGTTATTCAGGTATGGTACAGAAACTGGTTTCGAATTTTGTTTAGAAACATATTATGGATTGCTGAAAGGAAGCTATTGCCTATTGATGCAATTTGGTTGGCGCTACATTGCGTTAATTGCTGGTCTTGTTATTCTCCCGGTTGAATTAAATAGGTGTAGTTAGGTAGAAGTAAAAACGTAGAAGCTACCCGGTAACCAGGTCAATTATATAATCAATGTAATGTAGATGTTTCCTGATGTTAAAAAACAAAAACAAAATAGTGAGAACGAGAATAATAAAATTCAAAGTTAATCGCGAATTATAATTATGTCGGGCGTCAGGGCATCGGTAAGAAAGCGAATGTAATGCCTGATTGCGTCACAGTAATAAGATAAGTTTCAAAGTAAATATAGAAAGGTTTGTCCAGTGACCTGTTAAATTAGAGAAGGGAACTGACAAACTTTTCTATATTTACTTTGAAACTTATCTTACTTCTGTGTTTGAAACTTCTCTTATTACTGTGATCCAATTAGGCAATTACATTAGCTTTCTTGCTGATGTAGTGGCAGAAACCAAAGTAATAAAATCGGCGAGTGGGTCTAAGAGCATTTTTAATAGTAAAGCATCTTTAAAATAAAGAGCATTATTAAAGAAGCTCTTATACGTGTGTTACACCCACTCGCCGATTTTATGACTTTGTTTCTGCCACTGCTTCTGGTTTGTAAATCTCTTCCTTGTTTAACTATATAAGTTGATTATGTAGTTAGAATCTCTCATATGTCATTCATTTTCAGCTATGGAGCACCCTCAGACTGTGAAGGACTGCCTTGGCTGGGCAGCTAGGGATCCCTCCGGACTTCTATCCCCATACAACTTCGCTCGCAGGTGCGTTTTGTGTTTCTAGAAGATACACGTCTCTTTGTTTTAACCCATTTCTAATCGAAAATTTTAAGTTTTCAGGACTCTCGGGAGTGATGACGTTTCACTAACCATAACCCACTGTGGAGTTTGTTATGCTGATGTTATTTGGTCTAGAAATAAACATGGAGACACCAGATATCCTTTGGTGCCTGGGTATGTATCAGTATCTATATACGCCGTTACACTTTTTTTTCCACTTCCACAAACTCACGTTTCCATGATCTTTTCATTTGCATCATAGGCATGAGATTGTTGGAATTGTGAAAGAGGTGGGTTCAGGTGTTAGCCGCTTCAAAGTTGGTGACCATGTTGGTGTGGGGACTTATGTCAATTCCTGCCGAGATTGCGAATATTGCAACGATGGCCTTGAAATTCATTGTGTAAAAGGCTCAGTTTACACTTTTAATGCCATTGATGCTGATGGTACCGTCACGAAAGGAGGATATTCTAGTTACATTGTTGTCCATGAGAGGCATGTTTCATGATGCTTAATTGTTCTTTTCTTTTTCCTTTATATAATTATTAAATTTCTTGTTTGATTCACATTCGCAGTTACTAGGATATAAGATACCTCCAATACTTTCCCTGTTCCAGTTTCTATTATATAGGTTCCATCTGTACTCTGTAGTCTTGTGTCAATTCATGTTGGCCTGTGTTTGTGGTGATTTCTTATAATATAATTGCAAGGTTGTGAGAGAGGTGCAATTTCCAGAGACTCATGGGGTGGCGCTGTTCTGCTTTGCACCGTATCGACATGTGCATAGACAGACACTGGCAGGGGAACCGTTTTCATTTCCTTGCTAGGATTTAATGGAAATCAAGTTGTGAATGTCGTGTTTTTGTAATTTGACTATTTGGTGTCTTTTTTTTCGGGGAAATCTATGGATTGAATTTGGTGAAGTATAACAATTGATGTTAATGTAATGGTTTTAATTCTGTTCATTCTACCCAGTGAATTTAGAAAATATTTGCCACAATAAAGTTGTTAATTTTGGCATTGATTGGATAAACAGGTACTGCTTCAGGATACCCAACAACTATCCATTGGCTTCAGCAGCACCTTTGCTTTGTGCTGGAATTACTGTTTACACTCCAATGATGCGCCATAACATGAACCAACCTGGAAAGTCTCTAGGAGTAATTGGTCTTGGTGGTCTTGGTCACATGGCAGTGAAGTTCGGGAAGGCTTTTGGACTGAAAGTAACTGTTTTCAGCACAAGTGCTTCCAAGAAAGAAGAAGCCTTGAGTCTGCTTGGTGTGGACGCATTTGTCATCTCATCTGATGCAGAGCAGATGAAGGTAAAAATATGTTAAGCATTCTAAAAGCTACGGTATAACTGATAATTAGTCGTAGGGCTCTCCTAAACTAGTATTTGATATGCAGGCCATCGGTAAATCACTTGACTTCATAGTCGATACAGCGTCTGGTGATCACCCATTTGATCAATACATGTCTCTTTTGAAGGCTACTGGTGTTTATGTTCTTGTGGGGTTCCCGAGTGAAGTCAAATTCAGTCCTGCAAGCCTCAATATTGGTACTTTCACTTTCCCATTATATAGACTTGAAACAACTTCATCACTTTAACTGTAGATTGTTCATCAAAATAATGTCAGTCAGCCAGTGTAATGAAGTGCTTGAATTTCCCTTTTGGTAGGTGCGAAAACCTTTTCTGGCAGTGTAACCGGTGGTACGAAGGGGACCCAAGAGATGTTGGACTTCTGTGCTGCTCATAAAATTTACCCACAAATAGAAATAGTTCCAATTCAGTATGCCAATGAAGCTCTTGAGAGGTTGATAAAGAAGGATGTGAAGTATCGGTTTGTGATTGATATTGAGAACTCCTTGAAATGACCCGGTGGGGCCAAGGGGAGTTAGTCAGTTGAATGCAGCATGTGTTAATGAATAATAATCAAACATATTGGAGATCGAATCATAAACTTGGCAGTAATAGCCTCTATATTCTGTTTGTATCCTGCTATGCTTTTGGAAAATGTTATTTTTCTAATAATCACTTTGTGTTCTATTTTCAAAACAAGTGAATAGCCTTAACCATTTTAAGGATGGACAAGATCAGGATTTCAAAGGCTGGTTTGTTAAGGCTAGAGTCATTTACAATTATAGCCTGGTAGGTATAAACCAAATGAGTATAAATGTGAAAAAAATTAAAAGAGTATTTGCTTTGCTTTTACAGCTGCCTTTCTTAAGTTATTTCAGTGGAACGAGTGACAGTTTCTTACTGTTTACTGATTGCCAAACTGAAACTGGGAACTACTGTTCCAGTTGACCTAATTATCACTGTCTTGAATTAGATGCATTGTTATGCAATTGGTGAGCCAATAGCGGCTGGATAGTTTCACTAGAATCATTCACTTCTGACATGCATAACTTTCATTAGTGGTGGAAATCTCTAAAATGTTACTATTGTGGCCGAAGTCTTTTCCATCATCCTCTTGTTGAGCTTGAGATTGAGATTGAGAAACATTACTATCTGCCCTTTTGCCCCATAGTACACAGTAAAGCCCCACAATTATAAGAAATGTGCCCATCAAGCTGTAAACATATTAGAAGCGTGGTTAAATTTTCCTTTCCAATTGTGTAGCAGAAGAAACAAGTTGAGTTCGAGTGATGTATACATTACCTGCCCAAGTGAAGTCTCTCTGCAAAAGCAACTGCCGAGAATATTCCCACAATAACTAGTAGTAGTGGACTGAACATTGCTGCAAAAACTGGCCCCTTTTTGCTGATACACCATGTTTGTAGATAGTACACTAATGCTGAGATTATGACTCCCTAAAAATCAATGCATTATAAACATACATATGTCATATAATTTGATTTTTCAACTGTGGATCAAATCAGATCATGAAAGCCAGGGCCATTCTTTAGCTGCTAGTTATAAACCTTACACAATAGATGATGGTTAAAAGTTGTACATCCCACTCCAGCTTCCATAAGCTTGGATTTCTTCCGAAGAACAGGGCAAGGAAAGATGATTGCAGTGACGCAAAGAAGCAAATGAGAGTGTTGAGTGATAGCCGAGCTGGGTAGTCTTCGAAGACCTTAGCCTATGAATATCATGTCAGAAACAATTAATGCGAAAAACAACAAATTGTTTATCTGAAACCAAAATATGTTGTCAGATTCAATACCTGGAGGATTAGCCACCCACTCCAAGCAATGTAACTGATTAGAATAAGAGCTGAACCTTTGATCCAGCTTTCCGTGGCAACAGGATTTTTGGCGGTATACACGTTAATGAGGGGCCTGTGCATAAAGCTTTTCAATTGGTAGTCTCCTTTCCAGAAGGTAAATATTAGTGATCCGCCAATGCAAATAATCGTACCCAAAACCTTTGCACTACCTCTAGCACTTGTAATCTTCACTTTCTCCATCCTGATCAATATCAATAATTAAGAAGCCGACTAAGTTAAAATAATTATATATGAATTTTTAAAAAGAGAGCAATTACCCAAGCAGAAAGGCCATGAGAAATGTCAAACTGGGGATAACATTACTCAACGCACTTGCCACTGTTGGAGAAGTGTAGACTAAACCAGCATAATAAACATTAAGATGGATGGTAGTCCCAAGTGATGCAAGCACAAAAATCTTCACCATCACTGAAAATGAGAGCACCGGGCGCTGTTTCCTGCTTTATCATGCATATATAGAAATTCTCATATTCTCTTCTTCTTCTGCTGAAGGAAATACATAAAAAATACAATCCGAACTTACCTTTCCAGCATATAAGCTAAGGGGCCTAACAAAAACATGGCAATTATATGGCGGTAAACCACAAAGACGAATTGATTGAGTCCCCTCTCCAGGGCAATTTTGATGAGGATATTTGATCCACCATAAGCTAATTGTACAAGTACCATTGCAATGTAAGGTCCACATTTTTCCATGGTTGTGCACTGAGAGATTTGTATTAATGGTGCAATCCGCATTGCGAATGAATACTTTTTATAGTAGTGTGAGTGGAATTCGTTATCGTAATAACATTTATGTGTTCGCCTTTTTACGAAAGAAGAACCCTCTTCAATGGTGGTCTTTTTGTTTAAGAGCATCTTTAAATTGAACATCTTCATTGATTTATATTTAGAGTATCTTCCAATCATCTTTATTAATTATAAATATGAAAAAAAAATTTTTTTCTTTAGAAGAGAAATACGGTTTTTTTTTTTTTCTTTTTAAAAAGACTTAGAACAATACTTAAATTTGAATAAAATTTTTGTCACGAAAGATGCTCTTTACCGTTACCGTTGAAAACAAGAAGCGTTCATCCACACAAATACAAGACAGTTAGAAGTACTTACTGATATTCCCCATTTGTTCGCATTATTCACTCAACCTGACGAATAGCTTAAGCTAGAATAATTAATTTTAGTTCTTCAAGGTTTTGATGAGTGAAAACAATCGTTTAAACAAGTAACATTGATATCTCCTTGGTGAAATTAACTAAACTAATAGTTTAATGAGATTTTAAACAAGAAATTTCTCTCGTTTAACTGTGTAGTAGTGTGTACACCAAACAACAATGTCCATATATTCACCAATACGCATAAACCCGTCCAAACAAAAGGCCACATTAGAATATCAAATATCATTTCATCGCACTTACTTACTTCGCTCCACTCCAACACTGCTGCATATCAAAACCATGTTTTAAAAACCGGACCTGAGGGCAAACCGTTTTGATGGTCGGGTCACGGTTCAATCGGTTAGACCGCTGATTGAACCGGTGACATCATCACACATCATGATGACGTTAGCACATTTTAAAAAAAACAAATTTTTTTTAGATTTCTATTTTTCAATAAGACAATAACAACTTAATTACTATCCAACATGATTCAAAGTTCAAATTCAACAACAATCTTAACACAATTTAAGTATTTAAACACAATTCAAAGTCCAAATCCAAACATTATGTTGTATTTACATATCAAATGATAAAATACATAACAATTAATAACAAAACATTTGATGCAAGTGTTTTTCTTTGATCCGTCTCTATGTTGATTGAGCTTCACACTAGCATCAAAATTCATCATCATCATCACCATCATCATCATCATAACCATCACCACCATCTACAAATAACTAAGGTTGAGAATTCCAAATCAGTAAGGAAGTAAACAGTTCACAACATAATCAAAATAAGTTGTACATTTGATTAGAAAGGAAAACATAACAAAATATAGATTCACTTCTATCAGGAAGGAGAAGAATAGTTCGGGACATAAACCAAAGTGAGTCATATTGAATGAGAAACCTAACAATATATAGGTTCACTTACAGGATTAATATAGTACTTCTGAAACAAACCAAATACAAAGTTATTGAAACATAATAAAAAAGTCATTTCCAACACAGAAACCAAATTCTAGTTCTAACAATTTCTGCCATCCGAAGTAGTTTATGTCAGCCCACAAATGTCATTAATAAAAAATTTCATAGGTATATACCAAGAATATAAAATTTTCTTATTCTTATTTATTGTTATCATACAAACTCGGCATATCATGCTTCAGAGTCGAGAAATTTAAGAAATGATAGTCACCAGAACCACATTAGAAGTGACAAGATAGACCATTCATTAATACAAATAGAAAACTTAATACAAAATATTTCCAATAGTATCCTTGTTGAAGGAGGAAAGAGCAGCAAGGTAGGGGAAAGCAAGTTCTACTGTTAATCCCTAATATCTGAGACTACATAATCAAACTAGGGAATTAAGAAACTTCCATTTTCTTATTTGTGCCCACAAATTTGATATCCTTTTTTTTTTTTTTTTTTAACAGAACTGATTTGATCATTTACATATTCATGGACCAATTAAATTCATATCACATAGACTATAATTAATTTGATTTTAGTTGAAATAAAATAATACAACTAGCGGTGGATTTTGATTAATATATTCCAGAGACCTTCCTTCCAATTTCGAAGATCACCGTCATCAATTTGATAATGGTTTCTTTAAGAAAATCGGTGCAAGATTACAACTATAACACATCAAACTTCAACCGTCTTAATCCCTAAGAATCCTTCCATCATCATCTCCTCCATTTCTCTTCATATAAAACACATCAAGAATGAAACGCAACCCTCTCACAAATCTGCCCAGATTACAACGAGAAAGACCCCAGCAAAAAGCCCCAAATCAATTGCTCATTCAACACAAAAGAACCCTAACAATTTCAGACTAAAAATGTAAGGGAGCGAGAGCGAGATGGCGTACCTGGATCGAGGAATGGAGCTATCGTCAACAAATGAAGCTATCGCCGTCGATTTCCAGCGAGGAACGGAGCTGCCGTCGTCGATTTCCGGCGAAGGAGGAAGACGTCGTCGATTTCACAGAGTTCAAACGCGATTTGGGTGAGATTTCAGAGAGAACAGAAGACAGAGTTGAAACCGTTACAATCTTCGCAAAGAACTGAGAGTTTGTTTAGAAATTTTCGTGAGGAAAATGGAGAAAGAGAAGAACTGAAGATTGAAGATTGAAGAAGACGAGAGAGGGGCGTGAACCGAACCGGACAAGTGACCGGTTCACGGTTCAACCAGTTGGACCGGCCGGTCCGATCCGGTTTTTAAAACAATGATCAAAACCTCACTATAAACTGTGGTTGGTCACATGTACACGTTTGAAACCACGAAACATTTGCGCAAGAAAACTACTTTCAGGGCCAGTTGAAAACACTTCAAATAATAGTAATAATGATGATGATGATAATCGTCTGGTCGTTTATCCATTTTACAATACACAAATCTTTAATTACAATAAATAAATACTCGGATATAGAGAAGCATGCGCCCATGAAAAACATATTAGAAAAATAGAAATGACAAAAAGAAGATTGAGTGAATTAAACAAGACAAATACAAAAACCATAAAATAAAAAACTATAGAAACCACAATATAACAAATGCCATGACGCAATCTGAAATGTTTCAAATCACAATTTGACAAATTCTATACAAACCCTACTACAAAACTCTTTTTTTAAGACCCGGAGTCTTCCTCCTAACACGAGCAAATTACAGAGTGTCTCTCATCTAGTCAACAACCTGGGGCTACACAACCATTCTGGTCCTCTTCCTCCTCTTCATCTTCCAGTTTGTACTCACTGAAGTGGTTAACCCTGAATTTCCACTCACCCTTGACGGGGTCATAGGATAGAAAAGTAGCACCTTGGTCCTCAGCCTTTCGCTTCAGCATCTCCTTGTATTTATCAATTTTTGGACCTTCCGTATACTGAATTCCAGTCTTTTTGTCGAAGCATTTTATATTTAGGAGTGTTACTTCCGCAGGCTTATTAAGACCTTGCCCAACAGGAGGTTTCTTGCTGTCATCCATGTACACAATCACCTCACGGTTGTTAAACTGAACAAGAGACTCAAGATCAAGTCGTCGCACATCTGTTTCACCCAAGAACTTGATGCTTCCATAGCCATGGCGTCCAACTACAAAGTCCTTGACACGTTGACAGTACCCTGGCTCAGCCCTTTCCTTGGCTGCAAGTTCTTGGATTCGAGGTTCTGTGTAGTAGTCAGATCGTCGGAGCTTCGGCATCAGTGCCTCAATGTTGGCCCCATGCTCATACACAATTGCAGCTTCACCAGCTCTGTGGCCACCAAGTGTCATATATGAGTCATCTCTTTGTACAGTATGATCATCATGGACTCCATTCAGTTTGTGATCAATTTTGACAGGATGTACTCGCTCCTTCACAGCTCCATTTTCAAGAGGATTTTCTGCAATCAAACAGTCGTTAAACATAGTGAATTACTAATCAAACTCACAAATAGTCAACAAACTCACAATAGTTCATAAGCCTTAGCTAAACACAAATTTGCACTATCGTACTTGCTGTTGGTGAAAATGAAGCCATTGAAATGATCTGTTCGTCTAAATAAAGTCATAGAAATAATTTATTGCCGACGGGATTTTATATTCATTGCAATTGGAGCAAGGGACCCAAAAGAGAAGATATGAAATTATATTGGTACAAATACATGTCAGCTTGAGTTTGCCACAGTAGAAACTGAGTTGCTAGTTTAAGTACCAAAAGAGGGTGAATTTTTTTTTTTTTTTTTTTGTTGGTAATCCAAATATACCCCAACCTCGCTTCGCGAAGTCGAGCTTCAAACCGAACCCTATAATCCTGAGGAAGTGGAAAACAATGGCTTTTGGCCATGTAGGTGCCCATGAGGGAACTCAAACCCTAGACCTTGTGGAAACTAACCACATGCCCAATCACTCGGGTAACCTTTCATGGGTAAGTAACGCAAGAGTTAACAACCCATCAAAAAGTAGAAAACAAAGAACCTCACATGTCCACTGTAGAAACATTTCTTCCACGTGTAGTTATAAGATAACAAAGATTCAATTAAATTTGTATACAATAAATGACCTCACAACTACCATGTTTCTCATGAGGAATTCCAAGGTTTGGTCAACAGAAGACGGTCTAGTTAACGGAAACCCATTTCACTGTTGTAAAATGAACTGAGGACAGAACTGAGAAACAAGGACCCAAGAAGTTTTCCAGTCAATTTATTTATCATCCAAGGGCTATGATTCTTTTTTTTTTTTTTTTTTTAAAATATGGGGAAAAAAAGGAACTGAGCAGTTCTGTAGTAAGCGCCAAATCGCAAGGACAGACAAAGTACATAAACACAAAAACCAATACTCACTCTCCTTATCCTCAGTAATGGAGCCATCTTCAGGGATTTTACCTGGAAAGAAAAAAAAAATGTTCAAATGTTCATGTCAAGAAGTATGAAATGTAACATAAATTTTATCTCCAGTACAAAAAAAAATTCCTCTTAACTGATCTAAAAGTACAATATAGCTATCTGCTCATCTTTTTTACAGAATGGAATGGAAATAAATGCCTCACAGTTATACATGG